CATGTGTGTGCTCAAACCCCACAGAGAGAGAGGAGAGAAATATATATATATATATATATATATATATATATATATATATATATATATATATATAAAAAACGGATCTGCATGTAGTAATTCCTTATATATCGGCTACTTTGTATTTAACCTGATGATCTTCTAAGTTGGAGTTTCATTCTTGGTGTACGACAAACTTATAGGAAAAGTCTAAAAGTTTTAGGGACTGGAGGTGAACACTTCCTGCATGTTTTAAAATGTTATGGGTCATGTTTTAAGTAAACTGCAAATGTGGACAACAAATACTTAAGACTAGGTTCTTGCGCTAACTCAGAAGTTAGCACAAAATGTTAGACACATTTTCCACATTGAATATCTGAAAGCTGCAGCTTTTAGATATAGCAGCTCAGAACTGAAGTCAAGTTTTTATTTTTCTTTTTGTAACTTTTTTTAATAATTTTGAGAAAAGCTGAAAACATTTGAACTATGAAGTAGTTTGCACTACCTGCCACTTTGGCCTGTTTTCCCTGTCTAAGCTGAATGATTATTATTTTTTGAAATGCACTCTTGGTTACTGGAACTTTATAATACATTTTAGTAATTGTTGTTTGACTTGTTTATTTGGGATATTTAAAATGTTTTTCAGTTCCAGTGTTAGATTTTCTTTAGAAATGTTTTTTTTTCCTTTGATTGTGTTATTTGCATTAATAAGAAGTTATTATTATTGCATTAGTTGAAAATTGTTTTCTAGATGACAGTGCTATTATCATAGATTCTTTACCACAGTTTACCATCCAGCATAATTTATCAATTTAGTCCACTTTCTGTCCATTTGTGATTTTTCTGCTTTCAGCCTGTGTGTCAGTTTCTCCATTATGAACATTTCTTCCACCATTGCAGTCCAAATCAATGGGGCAAATCACAGCTCAGCTATCAGAGATGTTCTGTTAAAGAAGATAAACGCCTAAGCAGACATGTGCAGTCCTATCTCTGACCCTGGTTTAGTTTTTTTCCATCTTGAAGTTGACCGCTCTAATCAAATCCAGTTCTGTTGAACCTTAATCCATTCTGTTGTTCTAGGTAACAATATCTATGGTTCGGAGATCGTCAAGGTTCTCAGGGAGGTGAGGGGGAGCACGGAGCGGACGGCATACATCCTGATGGATAAAATTAACCCCGCTCCCATTGAGAACTACCTACTGAGGAGAGACTCTCCCCTCGTCATCAGTAACTGTCTGAGTGAACTGGGAGTGTTTGGAGCCTACGTAAGGTACAACGTTGTTCTCCTCAGTGCATGACTATTTTCACACAATAAAGATGTTTTGTTGTCGAACCTTTAGCTTTCACTAATCTATGCTCTGTCAGTTCGGGACAGAATTTTACACAGCTGTCGTTTACTCCTCTGTCTCTAGTTTACGGCAGCTTAAAAGATATAAATTTCTGCCAGAAAATAAACTTTTTCATCTCCACGAGTTGTTGGACCAACATGAATATTTAGTCTTTTGAACTTGTGTGCAAAAATAGCGAATCACATTCTTTCAGCTGGATTCCCTCCACCAGGGGGAGCTTTTTGCAGGCATATCCTCTGTGTGCAGTAAAGTATGTTTCTCTCTTGTGTTCTTGTTTCCTTGCAGGCAGGGGGCGCACATGGTGATGAACGAGTGTGTGGGTCACCTGCTGAGGACCAAGAGCTCAGAACACGCCGACGGGGGGGTAGCTGCGGGTGTGGCCGTTCTGGACAATCCTCTACTCGTCTAACGCACACAAACATGTCACACTGATTCAATCTGAGTCCAGAAAGAGAGACATCACATTCTCTTTCTGTGCAAGTTAGAGTTGTGTTTGATACATTTCTATTTCAGATCATAAAATCCTTCTATATAATATTTAATGCCCCTCTTAAAAAGAAAACAAAACGTTATATTCCTCGTTTTACAGAGAGCTTGTTATCAGAAGAAATACTGACCTCTGGTGGCAGGGGAGCTTAATTACACTACTGGAAGAGTTGACTGATTTAAAGTTTGAGTGGAGCTGTTCTGCTTTTAGAGCCACATGGAAATGTACATTTCCACCAAAAAACTTAATCTCAGAAATTCTCTAGAAAAATCTAAAATATTTCTGAGTTTGAAAAGCTGGAAAATTAGCAAGAGATTGAGATTATTCTCATAAATTCTCTACAAAAATAATATTTTTGAGTTTCAAAGGTGGAAAATTATTGCCTTTTGAATTTCAGAAATTTTTGTTGTTTTTTTGTTTCTAGAAAATTTCTGATGTCTCAAAATTTCTGAGTATCAAATTTTCAATTTTTCAAACTTAGAAATGTTCCCCGTTTTTTTTTTTTTTTTTTAATACACTTAGATGTCTGTTTTTTTTCTCTCGCAAATTTTCAGTTTAGAGCTTAGAGATTTCCTTGTTTTTTTTTCTAACCAGTTTCTGAGTTTTTGGGCAGAAATTTACTACTACTCCTTTTTTTGTCTACATTGGCCTGAATACACCATTGTACCTATCAGCCTTTAGGCACACTAAACAATATGTTGAGTGAACATGGTTCATTCAACACATTGTAGCCCTTTAGTTGGAAGTTTAAACTGCCGTCAGTTTAATGTGTGATTGCTTCCAAATATGAACAATACTTCAAGTTGAAGGAAACTCGCTTTTTATTCACAAAAAAAGTCCTGTAAAAAAATGTATTACTTATTTTGATTTCATAGAAAATGGCAGAAAAGGAGGAAAGTTCCCTTAATAAAAAGCACTTCCTGTTAGCTCAACCCTTAAGTTATTCTTCACTGTAAATTTTCTACATTTTCGATTTCTGTAGCAAGAAAATAATCATGACTGGAGAAATGTATTAGTTGACAGAGAATATCTTTTTTTTCTACATGGCAAAGGATGATGTGATTTATACAGTTCAACATTGTATGCATTGACAGTGAATGACATTAAACAATCCACAGCTACTTTTTTAAAATAAATTAAATGTTGGTTTACAATTTAAAGAAATCTATTTTTTTTTATCTCTGATGTGATCATGTCAACATTAAAACAGTCTTATTTATCAGCTGAGATTCATCAAAGAAATTAAACAGAGAGTAGTTCCAGGATTAAAATGGTTTGAAAAGTAAATTAAGGACTAAATGTCTTTGGACCAAAATCATAAAGCAGTGGTGTCCATAGTGGGTCCTTGAGGGCCGGAATCCTGCATGTTTTAGTTCTCTCCCTGGTGATAGTAACAACCTTTTCAGCATGAGAATGTTCCTCTTAGGCCTCTAACAAGCCGTCCTTTGATTCATTGTATTAAACCAGGGAGAGAACTAAAACATGCAGGATGACGGCCCTCGAGGACCCACTTTGGGCACCACCGTCACATAGAAAGCATTAGATAGATCTAATGTCAAGTTGCATTGTCTGTTTTTTATTTATTTTTTTATACTGCTTTCACATCTTTTTGATTATTTCATACATGTTAAAAAAAGGCCTTGGTAAATCATTTCAAAACTTCCACATTTATAGATGTCTTTTTTTTTAAAGTGTGGTAGTGTCCAGGGATTCTTCATAAAATCTTTAAACTTTAGAAACCCTCATTCTCTTCATGAGTCTGTTTTACAACAGTTTTCAGCCAGAGGCTTCTTCACAAGCCTGTACTATAGACTGCTACAGGAGATTATTATTTCCTGACGATCCAGAAGAGAAAATAAAGTCCTGGTCCAGCCTACTGCAGCAGAAACATCAGAACAACAGAGTTCATGATTTGAACTGAAATGAAATCTAAACTGAACAATTAATTCACATATGTTGACTTATCATTGGATAAATTAATCAAAAATGGATTTGAGAAAACTCTTTTTAATAAGCAATTTATGGATAAACATATATTATCTAAAGATGGATCCAGAATCTATGGAGAGTGAAGAGTTTTAATAAACTGACACATTTAAAAATTGTAATATGGCACTCTTCACTCTCCGTAAGAGTAAGGACATACAGGAGCAGCAGTTTATATTCTGTATCAAAATGTAAGACTGAAGAATTGAAAATGAGCATTTTTCTAAGAACAAGTGAGTTCATTCCTGATCTAGTTTTAGAATAATTTAGAAAACAGCTAATAATGTACATATTTTCCCTCAATTTTGCTAGTAACATTAGTTTTATTATAGGTTGGGATTTGTCTTTTTTTATTGTGTTGCAGGTGGGCAGGTTTTACATTGTGTTTGCACTGTAAACTGTCAGGCCTAAATGACTAAAAAACTTTTGCAGAACCACCTGAAATGCTCTAGGTGTGGATTAGGTGTAGTAATTTGGCACCTTGACCCACCTGCTGAGTGCAGAACCTATAGAATGAACCAGTAGGCCACTGGAGCGCTATGTTTTGAAATCGCTGCTTCTGTTTTTTGGTAAGTTACTTTTCAGAAACCTTATTCTAAGTTTTGTTTTTACCCTGATGAAGTTATGGAAGCCATTTTTTATGTCTAAGCAGGGCACCAGACAAGGAACTACCCAACCACAACCTCTGAATGGCAGTTTGTTTGGCTGCCGGCATCCCTACTACAACTAAGGAGAAAAATGGCGTCTGGAACCACCAGCAGATCGACCATGGACACTGAACCAATCACTACAAGCAAGCTGAGGATCCCTTCAAGATGTCTGGGGTCCGTCCCACCTATCAAAGGTAGGCTAGGACCCAGAAGACATCTCAAAGTAAGAGCTGTCCGGGTGTTTATGCCAGCTGTGTTATGCTGGTTTGTTTTGATTCTCTGCTGAGAATCTATGAGCCGAGAAGGATTCTGCTGTGTTGAAAATTCTTCTGACTCTAGTCTTTTTAACGCCATTTATGAAGCAGGGTCGGGTCATACTCCAGACTCAGCTGGTCTTCCTCCCAGCAGCATATCTTACTGGTTCTTTAAGATACCCTAGTTGAGCAACAGCTCCACTCCAAAGCATCAAACTGTTCTCCATCAGCTTTGGATCATTTCCCCCTTTAATCCATCTGCATTAATTGCTTGTGTTGCCAATTGTAGGTCATTTATGAATTGTGATTGGAGGGCCAAACAAAATCATTCTAAGGGCCACACTTTGGTCCTCCTGGTCTAAAGAAAACTCGCTCATGCAACAATTCTTTTACATTTTTTTTTAACTGTACAGAGTAAATGTTACATTGTATGTGTAAAGAGAAATACAACTCCAAAATTTGCCACTTTTAGCTAGTTGCAGTTCAATATGTCAAACCCTAGATGGCACCAAAACCAAAGACATCTCCTTCCCAGTTTAATCTCACCAACCTTGAAACCTGTTTGGAGACATTTCCCGTGACTGTAGCAAATTACTTGGCTTCTCTGTTATATTAATTACTAAGTAAATTTTAAAATATTCATATTTTTGTACTTTCTGCTGTGAAAAAAATAATGTAAACAAATGAAAATGCTTACATACAAATTATTTAAGGTGTGCATAAGCTGCAAACACCTTCTCCAGCCATTCTTTCTCCAGAAGGAACCAATGTTGTTTGTACTACAGCAGCTTTATGTATTAACTGTGATCAAATTCAACTCAAAATTCAAATGGAAAAATACTTTAATGATCCCTAAAGGAAATTAAATGTCATTTTAACTCATTCCAAAATTATTCAAAGGGTTATTGTAGATGGTGATGGCAGAAAAGGAGATCTTTTCTGCTACAGAAAAGATGACTCACACTGTCAGTCAGGTGTTGAACTGACTGGCAGAACAAATATATTACTCACTCAGAACATTTGTGGACTTACACAACTACTACAGAACAGGTCCCAGTCTAGAGACACCGTGATCCTCTATCAAGCAAGACTGGGATTTTTGTCTTTTCAAAATGTCCATTTCCGAACAGTTTGTGAGAGCGGAAGAGGCATTAAATGTGTTGCATCAATAAGGACATGCAGTACAGTACAACAGTTTTGCGAAATCACTCATTTCTTCATATGTGTTAAGGTGTTGTGAGTAAGACTTTCCTGCAAGTCTTTCAAAGTTTTTCTTGGACTTTAGCTGCTCCTTTAGCCCATCAGTGAACTTTGACTGGGAACATTAGATGATCAACGGAAGGATGATGCATCTTTCAGCTTATGTGACAGCTGAAAGATGACATAAGACTCCCTGGTCCTGCTCATCTGTGAGAAATATGTTTCAGACCTTCACTTTTCCATCCATCCATCCTTACACACAGGCCTACCATTTTCCTACCTACCTGTTCACCTACCTAGCTACCTTCCTTCCATACCATACACCCCTATTCGCCTACCTTCCTCCCTTGCTTTCTTTTTCTTTTATTTCCATTCTCCCACACATTCCTTGCTTCTTTCTTTACTCATCAACCTACCTACCAATATACCATCCACCTACTCACCCACCCAAACTTCCTTCCTTCCAATCCACCCTCCATTACTCCCTACCTACGTCCTTCCTCCCCATCCTTAGCTACCTATCTAGCTTCTTTCCTTTCTCCACCCTATCTCTTCTTTTTTTGTCCATCACATCCATCCATGTGTACTCACTCGCCTACCTCTCTTTCCTTACTCACCTACTTACCTACCATCCATCAATCCACCCACCAAGTCTTCCTTCCTGCCCATCCACCCACATCATTACTACCTACCTACTGACTTATTTACATCCTTTCTGTCTGACCTTTTGTACTTACCTTCCTACCTACTAGCCAACCTAACTCCCTTCCTTGGTGATCTACCTTCTATCCACCCAACTACCTGTCCTTTCCATCCACTCACACCATTACTCTCTACTTACCTACATCCTTCCTTCTCATCCTTACCTACCTACTAATCTTGCTATCCATCCTTACTCTCCTTCCTTCTCATCCACCCTATCTACCTTTGTACCTATCTACCTTA